TTTGGTCCTAGTAGCTCTTGTGAACCTTGCCCTGTGGATCTGGGCCCTCTGGAACCACATGTAAAGAAAATTGTTTCTAACTTGAGTTTTAAAATGGACAGTGATTTTAAATTAGATTCCCAGATTGGAGCGGTGGTCAAGACCAGTTTTTAATCACCTCAGACAGCTGGCTAAGGTAAAGTCCATCCTCACAAAACAGCAGCTGGAAACAGTAATCCATGCCTTTGTCACCTCTCGGCTGGATTACTGTAACGCTCTTTACCTTGGAGTCAGCCGGTCCTCCCTCAGACGCCTCCAGTTGGTCCAGAACGCTGCTGCTCGGCTTCTAACTGGAGTTCAAAAGAGGGAGCACATCACCCCCACTCTGGCTTCACTCCACTGGCTGCCTGTTCATTTTAGAGTTCATTATAAGATTATTTTATTTGTTTTTAAAAGTTTAAATGGTCTTGCTCCATCCTACCTCTCTGAGTTGCTTCACCCATACGCTCCTGCTCGGTGCCTCAGATCAGCTGATCAGCTGCTCCTGGAGGTGCCGAGGTCTAAACGGAGGCTCAGAGGGGACAGAGCTTTTTCTGTTGCTGCTCCAAGACTGTGGAACGATCTTCCTCTTCCCATCAGACAAGCCCCTTTCACTGTCCAGTTTTAAAACTTTTTTAAAAACACATTTTTACTCCCTGGCTTTTAGCACAGACTGAATTTTGCTCTGCACGGTTTTTATTATTTTTTTATTGATCTTAATGTTTTAACGACTGTTTTATGTGTTTAAATGTTCTTGATTTTATATGTACAGCACTTTGTGGCAGCTGTGATTGTTTTAAAGGGCTTTATAAATAAAGTATTACTATTATTATTATTATTATTAAGAGGGAGAAGATAGATGATGAAAAGAAGGGCCCCCAGGACAGAGCCTTGGGGCACACCTGAAGTCACGGGGGAGGAGTGGGATCTGAATGATTTAAATTGGATGAACTGGGTGTGGCCAGAGAGATACGACTGAAACCAAGCGAGGGTTGTATTGGTGATGCCAGTGAATGAAAATCTGCGGAGGAGGATGTTGTGAGAGATAGTGTCCAAAGCTGCATTGAGATCGAGGAGGACGAGAAGAGAAAGTAAACCAGAATCTGCTGCCATGAGAAGAGTGTTAGTGATTCTAAGGAGAGCAGATTCTGTGCTGTGACCGGGGCGGAAACCAGACTGGAACTGTTCGTACAGACTGTTTTTGGTTAAATGGAGGTGGAGTTGAGAAGCGACTGTTTTTTCTAGAATTTTGGAGATGAATGGAAGGTTAGAATTAGGGCGAAGATTATTGAAAATATTTGAATCCAATACAGGCTTCTTAAGGATCGGAGTGACAACTGCAGTTTTGAAAATACTTGGGACAGTTCCTGAAGAAAGAGTGAATACTGGCAGAAATGATAGCCAGAAATAAAAAAAGCAAGATTTTACAAGCACTGTTGGAAGAGGATCCAGAGAACAAGTGGAGGGCTTGGATTTCAGAATGAGTTTGGCTATTTCAGAGGCAGGAAGAAGCTGAAAGATAGAAAAAGGCTGACTGAGGGGAGATGGTTCAGAGGAGGGAGAAAGAGGAGAGACAGGACAAAGTTGCTGATGAATTTTTCTAATTTCTCAATTAAAAAAGAACATGAGAGTATTACAGGTGTCATCTGAATAGAAGTGAGAGGGAAGAGAGTCAGGGGATGAAAAGTATTGTTTAACAATGAAAACAGGATCTTGGCATTACCTTTATTGGAGGAAATGAGGCCAGAGTAGAAAGCATATTTAGTTTGCAAGATTAAGATCTTGTAATGTGATGTCTGAGAGATGTACATGTCCTTATGAATGGTAAGACCAGATTTTTTATAGTCGTTCTAGTTGACGACATTTGGCTTTGATGGACCGGAGTTGAAGAGTAAACCAGGGGGCAGAATGAGCAAAGGTAATAGATCGTATTTTAACAGGAGCAAGGAAGTTGAGAATATGGGTTAAGTGATTATTATATTGAGCAGTAAGTTGATCAGGAGTCAGAAGATGGAGGTGGAGGTAATACTAGATGAAAGATAATCCAAATTGATGTCTTTAATGTTCCTGAATGAGATGACCCTGGCTGTCTTGGTTGATGAAACACACAGAGGAATATGGAATGATAGGGAAAAATGATCAGAAAAGGAGAGTTCATTGGCTTTAGAGTCAACAGGGGTAAGTCCAGAACAACAAATCAAGTCCAATGTATGGCCTCTGATATGGGCGGTAAAATCAACAAGTTGATTGAATCCAGAACTCTCCAGGCACGATAAAAAAAAATAATTGGTGAGTGGGAGGTTAAGATAGTCAATATGAATGTTAAAATCTTCCAATAAAATAATATTAGGTGACATAGCAGACAGTTGAGAAAGAAAGGCAGAAAAATCATTTAAAAAAACTTTGTGAGGTCTTGGGGGGGCGATAAACTGTGGCGATGATGGTGGGAGTGGGTCCAGACAGTTTACACACCATGCTCTCAAATGAGCCAACAGCAGGCACACACACACACACACACAGGTAAAACTTTCCAGTTCTCGTGATGGATTATCGCGAGACCACCCGTGACCGGAGCTGAGGGGTTGAGAGATGTAAACAAAGCCAGTCGGAGTGGCATCGTTGAGTTGTGAAAAATCCAGAGGTTGTTGCCAAGTTTCGGTCAAACAGAGAAAGCCAAGCTTATGGTCAGTGAGGAGATCCTGGATGAGATGACCTTTGTTTGTGAAAGAACGGATGTTGAGGAAACCAAAGTTGACCGAGGTGGAGTTAACAGATGGGTTAGCTGACCTGGCTAGGCTGGCTAACATGTTGAGATCTATAGACCGGGTGGCTTTACTGGCAGGTGGACGGTTGATGGTCCAGAAGGAGTGGATGGGTTTTGACCTGTCAAGCTGGAAGTTCCGACTAGAACCACGATGGATGTATCTCCGGCAGGGCAGGAAAACGACGTCCGGATGGAGACGGAGCACCACCGGCAGAGAATTGGGCAGGTGCCAACGCAGCCGAAGAAGCTCATCGGCTGAATATTGTAAAAGACCCGACACAGGTTCAATGAAGAGTGACAGGTAGGTCCATGCAAGCAAAAACCAAATGTAAAAATGACCGATCCACATTGTGAGGCGGAGGGGTCAAATGAGGTTATAAAGCCGGTTTATATGTCTATAATTGTTTACAGACGTGCAGTGGCAGCAAGGCGCGGCAGCAAGGCGCGGCAGCAAGGCGCGGCAGCAAGGCGCGGCAGCAAGGCGCGGCAGCAAGGCGCGGCAGCAAGGCGCGGCAGCAAGGTGCGGCAGCAAGGCGCGGTAGCGTCCACTCAACCGGAAGAAAAGGTTGTAAACAGCACAAAGCATTTGAAGGATGTGAAGGAAGATTTATTCATTTTCAATAGGAAAAACGTGGCTGACAAAGCTAAATATTTCAAAAAGTAAAAACTGCACAAATACCAACAGTTAGAGCAGGAATGTCCTGAATGACCTGAACGTTTTGATTCATGAATTGTTGAAATAGAACAAAAAATGGAACAAGTTACGTGTTGAAAAACATAAGGAGGAAAAATGAATCTTATTACAAGTGCCTTTGGTCGAAACAATATTGAAATACTGAAAATGAACAAAAGCAACTGTAATCGGGGTGCACATAACTTTTTTTAGTGTGCTCCTCATGTGAGTACCAGATGTTGTTTGGTACTCACATAGGCAGCTTTGTCTTAACAAGTGCCACCTTCCTTGCTGTCCTCCTCAGTGTCACTCCCACTATCCTCTGCTTCAGCTTCCTGCATGGCAGATGATGCAGATGTACCTCCTTGTCCTTGGTATTTTTTTCCTCTTTCCTTATTTTGTAAAAACCCCTATTTTGTGAAATGTTGTAATGACACCCTTCACAAGTTTGAATTTTTATCTTGTTGCATTGTTCTGTTTTGTGTTGTTCATAAAGTTCAAGAAAAAAAAACTGATGGGATGTAGGGAAGGAACGTCCACTTCAGAACAAATTGAGGTCGTTTATTGGTCAGTTGCCGACATGCCTACTGGACTGACTAACAGTTGCGTTGTGGATCCGACGTGTGCAAAAATACCAAAACAAAACCCACTACCGTCGCCAGCCCTGGGTGGAGGCGAGGAGGTCCAGGTGCAGCGGTGGCGATGTTCTGAGTTTTAATGTTGTTAATAAAAAGTTCTTAAAATAATAAAAAAAACATGGATCACACATACTGTCCTGCAGCCCACACATCATACCGGCCCACTGGGAAACATGCGGATCCTCCCCTTAACTTGACGGTACGCAAAGGTGTGTGGTAACACAGGTGATGCTACGCATTGCTCATTTTTGTTGCGCATGTGTACCTGCGTACCAGTTATGTGCACCCCCGACTATATATTTTTTTAAAATCATTAACTATTATTAAATTAATCATTATAAATAATAATTATATATTTTTTTAAATAAAAGTACACAATAGTTTTTTTAATGTAATAACTATTTGCCAAAATATTTAAAACAATTTGTCTACTTTTTTTTTTTTACTATTTTGTGATTTCATTAATCTTTTACCTACAAGTATATATTTATGTATTCATTTGTTTAGTTATTCTTGTTAGTGACTCCATGTTCTGTATTTTACATCAAGTTGTGACTCAGAATCTCCACCAACAAACTGAACAGATAAAAGAACAGAAACACAACCAACACATGCACTTTAGACTGAAGTTAATAACTTTTATTATAAATAGCTGATCTTAAATGCCTTCCGGTAGTTTTAATCATTCCCATTAGGCCAGGTAACATGAAGAACACAAACAGCCCAGAAACAGAAATAAAAGGTTAAAAATATTTCTTTTTAAGATATTTGGCAGAATATTCCTATAAAGAACACACGGCAGTGTTTAGTGAGTGAAGTAAAGCTGACAGGAAGCTGCTGGGAACAGAGTTTGGTCCAAAGCACGAGTCTAAAGTTTACGCTTGAAGCCCTGGCCTGTTGTACTCACCGTCCAGCTGGAGTCCCTGAGAAAAGGCTGCGTGCGATGACTCATAGTTTCTCAGGTGGTACTCTGCTATTCTGCATTTAGTCAAGATAAACACGACACACATCGTTAGAGCACGCTGTGAAAAGTCCAAGAGACAGCTTGAAAAATCTTTTTAAAACCTTGTTAACTCATTCTTTTTACATTATAAACGGAAGTTTAACGGTGGCTCAGTTGGCAGAGCTGCTGCCTCTCAGCAAGAAGGTTGACGAATAAAATCCCGGCCGGGGGACTTTAAGTGTGGAGTTTTCATGTTCTCTTCGTGCATGCGTGTTCTCTGGGTACTCGTTTCCTCCCACAGACCAAAAACATGCATGTTAGACTGATTGGTAACTAAATTGTCTCTAGGCGTGAGTGAGAGAGTGAATGATTGTTTGTCTCGTTTGTCTCCATGTGTCCCTGTGATGGACTGGAGACCATCAAACAAACTAAGTGTTGAATGGAAGCAAAATGACATTTAAACCTTAGACTTCTGCCAAAGTGAACCAAAAAGCTACTGTGAGTATAAAAGAATAAAGTTCGAGGAGGACAATGACTGACATATTAATTACTGTAATTTCTGGACTATAAGCCGCTACTTTTTTCACAGGCTTTGAACACAACGGCTAATTTATGTTGGGGGTTTTTTGACACAGGCTAACGAGCTTCATGCCACGAAAACATTTAGCCTCGTCACTCCCGAGTGCTCACGTAGCTGCCCAATACACGTCTCTCATGGGAGGTGGGTTCTCATGACTCAATGACACTACATGCATAAATAAAGATTAAAATAAAATCTGACCAATGAAATTACTGAACAGGTCACAGAGGACCAATAAAACCAAAATGAAACTTTGCTTCATTGGTCCTCGTTCTCTCCTCCCTGTTGTGCCACCAGGGAGGGGGGCACAGTATGCAGGAGGAAGATAAAGATAGCAATCAATGACTTCCTGGTAGGCTACTGTATTTTTTTTTTTACCAGCCGTGCTTCTGGCACTGTTCAGAAAAAAGCATTTACTGCACATATTTGTGTGTGTTACCAGTACATATTGTAGCATTCTGCTGTGGTTGACTGCCGGTCACATGGCCGCAGGAAGGGATTATGGGTAAATTTATGTTCATTGTTTTTATGTTCATTGTTAATCATCTCATTTAGCTGTTTAGCATTGTTCTTTTAGTGATTAGTTAGTTCTTGTTAGCCTAGTTTATGTGTTCATTATGTGTTAGGAGTAGGGATGCACCGATCCACATTTTTTATTTCTGATCCGATACCTAAATCTAACTATCGGCCGATACCGATCCAGTTCCAATATCATCATCATTACTGATTTTATATGAGGCTGTAATAATCTCCTCTCAAGTACAATTTGTACAAATATATGCATGCATGTCCAAAAAGGCAACTTGAGGTAAGTTTTAAAGTTAGCCTAAAAAAAGTTAAATCTGGTCCTCTGTCCAGAGGACCAGATTTAACTTTTTTAGATTTTTCTACCTGGATTATTGAGCATGCATCAGGATGTTTTAAAGTTAGAATTAAATTCTGCTAACACAAAACATGTTTCTTTATATTCCTAGCTTTAAAGTGGATATTAAAGTGATTAATTTAAGTGATTGGTTAAAGTTATTTTACATTTTTTTATATAAGGGGTAGATATAAGATTGTTCTTCTTTCTGCACTCTTTTCATTCAATGTTTTATTTTTGATGAATTTGTTTTGTTTCTATAAAATGAATGAATAAATTAATTTAAAAAAAGTTAAATGGCTTTAAACATCTGCTAAGTTCATGGCATAAACCAACAGACATGTTCCTGATTTTAGTTATTTACATCACTTTATAATGTAGCTGTTTTTGTTTCTTGTTATATAAATATATATATATATATATATATATATATATATATATATATATATATATAATTTTCTTGTAATTTTCAAATCATGTTTTTTTATGATTGTCTACTGTTGTACTGATAAATATCTCCTGGAGGGTAAACTATATCTTGGCTGCAAGTATCAAGCTGAGAAATCCTTCGTTTTCTACAACTGATAGTGGTTGATCAATAATTATGATGAAGTTTAGCAACTTCTCGGTAAACATTTGAGCTCCGTGGCTTCAGCGATGCGATTTTCTTGTTCAATCCGAAGCAAGCAGTCTGATCTCAGTCAGCCGCGCTCAGTCTGTCCCTCCTCCGACACAGTCAGACTGAGCGTGGCTGACCGAAATCAGACTGGCTTCTCCGGACTGAACGAAAATAACAGACCGCTGAAGCCCCGGAGCTCGAATGTCCAACGTAAAACTAACTTTACCACGGTTTAATGTGGCGCTATGGCTCTGCAGACTTTGCACGTTGCTCTCTTGTTTTGTGGTGTTTAGTGTAAAATACTTCCACACAGCGGACATGTTTAGATGAAAAGTTGGGTAGCTGTTAGCCACAGTGCTGCTAACTCGGTCCTCACGTTGTAGCTGTCTGCAAACTATGAAATGGATTTCCCGAATGTGAGGCGGGTCTTATTACTCTGGGCTCACGAGACGCGCCTCCGTTCAGGAAATCCATTCCATAGTTTGAAGCCAACGTGCAGCGCAACCACAGACATGCATCATGGATCGGAAAATCCGATACGTAAATTATGCTGGTATCAGAGCCCAACACCGATACTGAATCGGATCGGCCCCATCCCTAGTTAGTAGAGTAACCATGAGTGAGGTGGTTGTCATGAAGACCTGGGGGTTCACTCTGTCTGTGTGTTGAACAGGAAGATAGTCTGTAAAACACCATCTGGTGGTTGATTCTTGATCTACAGCAAGGCTATTCAACTGGCAGCCCGCGGGCCACTTCCAGCCTGCGAGGGACTTCAGTCCTGCCCACCAATGTCAAAATAAATAAATAAATACAACTTTTTTTTTTTTTTGTGGGGGGGGGGTATGTTTATTGCATTTATGATTCAATGAAATAGAACAAACAAATTTAAAAGGTATAAGATCATTGTAATACTTGGTTTATTTACATTATGACTTTAATCACTGGATGTCCGGCCCCTGAACTGCTGGCTTTCAGAAACTGTGGCCCACTGAGCAGTTTAGTTGAATAACGCTGATCTATAACAAGAGCTGCACATCTCTCAGTACAGGTCCTTCTCAAAAAATTTGCATATTGTGATAAAGGTCATTATTTTCCATAATGTAATGATAAAAATTAAACTTTCATATATTTCAGATTCATTGCACACCAACTGAAATATTTCATGTCTTTAATTGTTTTAATACTAACGATTATGGCATACAGCTCATGAAAACCCAAAATGCCTGTCCCAAAAAATTAGCATATTGTGATAAAGATCATTTAAAGTTTAAAGATTGTTTCTCACTGGTCAGGATTTCACTGTTAGCAGAGAAGACTGAGCTCAGTCAGCGGCTCTGTAGGAGTTTGTTTAATGACTGACAGGAACATTAACCAATCAGAATGCCGATGTAGAGTAGGCGGGACCAAAACATATGGCTCAGGACTTCTCTGCAGGTGTTTTATTGATCACATGAAGATTTGTGATGAATTCAATCAAACCCTGTAAATTCAAAAATCCACACTTAAATTGTAGTTTATTAAAAAAAAAGGTTAAATATCTTATTTGTGTTTACACAATAATTTCTGTGGGTTACTGTTAAAATTCAGTGTGAATTATTGAAATTACATGTTGTACATGTTTTTTTTTCTCACTAGCTCTCTAACGAGGTGCACGCGTTTCTCCCCGCTCCCTGCTCTCCTCCTGCTTTTTGCTCTCTGTCTGTGAATCGGAGCAGCTCCTATTTTTTTTTTACACATCTTCCGAAATGAAAACTACTGTTTTGGATCTGACCAACTGGACTTTCAACGTATATTACAAATTCTTTCAACAAAGCGACAGGGTCCTGGAGAACCCTCATTTGCTCGGATGAGACTTGCTGCTGGATATATCTCTGGGGGTGATGTGTCTACCACTGTTATCGAACGAGGACGCTGAAATTGCATATAATTTAATTTATGATAACAGGTTTCCTGTGTTTGGAATAGTCTGGATCCTGGTTTATCAACATACAAAGAAGACGATAGCAGCTAATTTGTCCCTCGTCAGGCTGTTGCCTATGTGAAGGTTGGTCCGTGCTTTGAGGACACAAAATCAGCTGATTTACGAGCAAAACTGTAAATTAGAAGTGATTTGAATCACAGGCCACCTGCAGCTTTGGGACTCGTCAGCATGAAAACACCATCTTGAAAAGGCTTGTAAGCACGGACGAGCAGAATGAACCCTAATCTGGATATTTCGGACCTTGGAAGCATCAGTACAGACTCAAGGCTGACGGAAAATAGTCTGCCTGAATAAATCAACAATTG